GACCTCTCCTTTCCTAAATCTCATTTCTCTCTCTCTCTCTCTCTCTCTCTCTCTCTCTACTCTCTCTCCCCAATTTCTGACTCTATCACTGTCCTGTCTCTAAATAAAGTTATACAAAGCCCCCAAAAATAAACTGCATGACCTCATCATGTTTTAATCGGATGTCACATGACTTGGAGGCAGAAACATCAGTCACATTCTTTGGGAAACTCTGTAAATTGTGCTGCTGGCACTCTTGGCCAGGACACTCTTGAAAAAGAGATTATTCGTCTAGACAAGTTTTATTTCCTGTTTAAAAAAAGGTTTAAAAAGAATCACTCAGTAGGACAGATAATTCCTTCTCTACATCACACCTTACGGTCATCCTTTTCCACTGTCCACTGGGAAATTCTAAAACAGATTGAGGTTTAAAAAAACAATCTCAGCTTTTTTGAATTCTTTTTATATATCTCTCCTGTGTGTGTGGTTAAGTAAACTAAGTGAAGGTATGTAACGCCTCTTTACTTTCTCTCTGGGTTTTAATTTAGGCTTTTTTTTATAACAGGGTGTGTATGTTTCGAGGAAGGGCCTCTGCTGATCATCGTGCTCTAATATTACGGTTGTAACTTGTGAAACAACTCAGAGTTCATAATTGCCTTGACTTTCCTGTTTTATTATTAGGGAGGGTTTATGTTGATTAGAAACCACAGAGCACAAAGGCCATATTGAAGCACACACACAGGAGCTGGCACGACCCTGACTAACCTGTTCTTGGCATTGTGTTGCTGGTCTCATGACTGGTTTCATATACCAACCAGTGCATGCACAACTCAAGGTGCCTCTCTTAGAATATGGGGAAAGACAATCTGGGACTTTTGAGACCACAATTAGCACTTTCTCTTTTCTGGATTGTGATTGAAAAGTTACAGTGATCAACTCTGTATTTTTGTGCAATTTAAACAGTGTGGGGGTGTTTCACCTGGTTTATAAGCAAACAAGACGTGGTTTAGAAACAGGTCTCAATATTGTTGGACTTTTTTTTTGCATTTCATCAAGATGGCGGTTCCAAGATAAGCATGTGAAATCGTTAAGTGCCAATATGTCTTCCAAGCCACTTAGAAAGTTAATCTTGGTGTCAACATATACATTTCCTGGGTCAAGGAATGCATTAAAACATCATTAGATGATTATTTGTGCGAAGATCAAATACACATGTTAATTTTGGCAATGTATTACATCATTTTCCTTGGTTCCTATTAATTCATGTCCAGCTGGCCGCCATCTTGGAACCGCCATCTTGATGAAGTGGCTCCCCCCCCCCAAATTGAAATGGTGATGGACACTATGTGGAAAAAATGTGGTGCTTTTGTCAGGCGTGTCCCCATTCTTCCCAAATCTGGTCCTAAACTGCCTGACTAAAAGGGTCGACCTGAAAAGAGAATCACTGGCCGTGACTGTGGCCAGCTTTGAGGTATAACAAACATAACACTTTGAAACAAACTCAGCAAACTTTCCTGCAGTAAGACCCGCAGCCCTCAGACATGCTGGCTTCCAAGAAAAGACAGTTTTTTCGCACAAGCTTTTTTTACATTTTACATTTCATTTTCTTTACTTAAAAAATCTCAAAATTCAACCTTTAATAAATGTGACCGACAATGTTAGTGCATTTTAACAAACCATACTCTTAGATTTGACTCATGAACCCTTTGGTCTTTGGTGTTTCAGCCATTATCTGGACATTGGAAGAATTATCAGATTGAATGGTGATAAATATGGATATTATAGACCTGTATAGAGAATCCAGCAGATAGCCTTTTTTAATTTGTCCCGTTAAGAATAATCGTGTTAATAATCGGGCCAATCGTGCTTGAGTACAGCACGGTACAGATGGCCAGTGTGACTGCGCCCTAAGAACCTCTTTTCCAAAAAAGACCTGGACAAGACAGCCAATAGAAAAAAAACACGAAGTGACAGACAGTAAGGGCGACCGCTACTTGAAATCTTCCGACAAAGATATTTTGAATTAATCATTGTCAGGTTGGATTATATGATACATTTATCCACAGCTTAACACTTACAATAGTAAGACTTCAATTTACATTTCAGAGTCGTTCTGTGACTTTGTTTGAAAGTGACACCATCATATGAGATAAGACAACCATCAAGCGAAACATTTTTCACTGAACAGATGGAGTTTGTTTCCTTATCGTTAAGGAATGTTCTTCTTTCCTTACGGGCATTGTGAGCCCATAAGGAAAGAAGGACATTCCTTAAACTCCAACAGTCAGCGATAATATACCTGAGTGCAGTGACAAAAAATTTCATGTTTGGTTTCAATCACACACACGCCCTTAAGTCCTGAATTTCCACCTGCCCCCACCCTCGTGATGTCAGAGAGGTTTTTTTTTTTTTTTCCTCTTCTCTACACGAGGTTTAAATAGTGACACCAAGCAAACAAGTGTCACATTCTTACCTGGCATCCCGTTAAGAAACACCAGCAGTGCCACACCTGATTAAAACCTACACAGGATCATTACATCAAGGAACTGCACACAACATTTCGCTTCTAAACAAATTTCACCCATCTCTGGAAGTTAAGACGACAAGAAGATCTACAGGTAAGATTTTTAATACATTATTGAATATGCTTAAATGACTAAAGAGGATTTCTTCATGATTTGGATTCAGAGTTTCCATAGATATATCATTGAAGGTTTACCATTTACTGTGTTGGAAAAATAAATCCTGTAAGGTTTTTTTTTTTCTTTTGCAGTTTTCGAAAGCAAATTGTTTCATAAAAGACAAATAGTTGGTGTGAATTCATATGTTTTTCACTTAAAAAAAAAAAAATCACATTTTCATTATAACAAAATCAGGGTTGTTTCTTTAAATCGGAATCATCTCAACATCAAGTTAATAACTTAGGAAAAATGTAATTTCTTTAGAAAAATGTAAACCCTGTATTGTGACAAAAGTTTCAAATTAAAAGCATTCATGAATAAAAACGCATGTTCTGTGTTCATATTTATCATTCTTTAATTACAGGTTGAAATGTTGATTTCTTTCCCTATAATTAATACTCAACTTTATGATCTTTTAAAGAGTATCTTTCATTCCCGATTTCTCAGTTGATTATTTTCCTTTAGTTAGTACAGTTAAAAAAACAAAACAATTGTAATCATTTAAAATTTTACTAAGCTTTCCTTCAGTCACATCTTCAATTTGATAAAGATCGCCATCGGTGTTCAGTTAATTAGTTGACAAACTCGCCTCTCTGCCTTGTGTCTGATCACCTGCAGAGCCTGATACATGCCCTGCAGGTGATCAGAGAGAGAGAGAGAGAGAGACGCCTTCTCCTGTTAGTGCACCGATGGGGGTGCGACATAAAATTTGACCCCTGTCCCATACCACTGCTTTTTTTAATGAACAAGTCTCTTCAACACAGGTTTAAACTGTCGTGATAAGAGAACATCGAGTGACATTTTTTCAAAACAGGAGGTTGCGTTATTTGGCTGTCTCTTAAGAAACGTTCATAGACATGTGGTGCAGATGTCTGATGTCAAAAGATCAGACTCATACAAGTACAGAGAAATGCTAGGAACTCTGTGTGTGTGTGTGTGTGTGTGTGTGTGTGTGTGTGTGTGTGTGTGTGTGCAGATAAAAAGAACTGAGAGGTAGTAAAGTGAGCAGATTAAAGTCTTTGTGCCACGTAGTTTGGGAACATCCCATTATTAATCTATGAACTAGCCTAATATCAGTTGTATTGTATTTCAATGTTTGTTCACGCTGATGAACCACTCCCTGGGTGCAACCTCCATCGCCACATGTACAGGTTCATTCTGTGGGAAACACTGACCAACTATAATAAACAGAGGGGGAAAAAGACACCCACTCATTTCAGAGGATAAAACAGCCAATGTTTGACAAATTTCTTAATCAGCAAAAAAAAAAAAAAAAAAAAAAAAGACTAATGAATTGGTTGCTGTTTATTTACTGTAACTATAATACTCAATGGATACCTTAATATGAAGGCTATACATTAATGGTTCATAATTATGTGAAAAAAAGGTTTTGGTATGGTTTAAAAAATACTATATTACACATTAAAGCCTATAAAAGGTAAAATCCTGCCTCCCAACAAGTTTGTAAAAGATTTCTGAATACAGTCACTGATGGATTATGGTCACTGAGTTTGGTTGTGTTAAGCACATTTATATTTTGCTCATTGGTATTGTAGAACATGAACTTCTAGACCTGCTACCGCATGGATTCAACATCACGTGTCCAACTTTATTACTGAACTAATTTCAGCCCTTTCTGCTCTAGGTATGGACGGCAGACTCTTCTTTACTGTCCTGTTTGTGACGCTTTCCTGGATATCTGTTGGCACCTTTGCCCAATCATCAACAGCAGCAGCAGGCACAACAATGGCGCCTACAATGACAACAGGAAACGACATGACAAGCGCACCAGGTGCAACGACAATGGCGCCATCCATGACAACAGGAAGCGGCATGACAACCGCAGCAGGTGCAACAACAATGGCGCCATCCATGACAACAGGAAACGGCATGACAACCGCAGCAGGTGCAACAACAATGGCGCCATCCATGACAACAGGAAACGGCATGACAACCGCAGCAGGTGCAACAACAATGGCGCCATCCATGACAACAGGAAACGGCATGACAACCGCAGCAGGTGCAACAACAATGGCGCCATCCATGACAACAGGAAACGGCATGACAACCGCAGCAGGTGCAACAACAATGGCGCCATCCATGACAACAGGAAACGACATGACAACCGCAGCAGGTGCAACAACAATGGCGCCATCCATGACAACAGGAAACGGCATGACAACCGCAGCAGGTGCAACAACATGGCGCCATCCATGACAACAGGAAACGGCATGACAACCGCAGCAGGTGCAACAACAATGGCGCCATCCATGACAACAGGAAACGGCATGACAACAGCAGCAGGTGCAACAACAATGGCGCCATCCATGACAACAGGAAGCGGCATGACAACCGCAGCAGGTGCAACAACAATGGCGCCATCCATGACAACAGGAAGCGGCATGACAACCGCAGCAGGTGCAACAACAATGGCGCCATCCATGACAACAGGAAACGCATGACAAGCACACCAGCTGCAACAGGAAACGCATGACAAGCACACCAGCTGCAACAGGAAACGCCATGACAAGCACACCAGCTGCAACAGGAAACGCCATGACAAGCACACCAGCTGCAACAGGAAACGCCATGACAAGCACACCAGCTGCAACAGGAAACGCCATGACAAGCGCACCAGGTGCAACAACAACGGCGCCATCCATGACAACAGTAGCAGCCCAACTAACGCCCAACAATAACGTGTCACCGCTTGCGGTGAGTGATACAAAAAGTAGAATAGAACAGAGTAGAACCAAGAGAAGCTGCTTTTATTGATAGTGTTGACCTTCGATTTTTAATTACCCAAATGTTTCTTGTCTTTTTTGCAGACATCTTTCAACAGAAGTGGCTGTGGAAGTGAAAAACTCTGTGCGGCCGAGCCCTCTACGTGCGACCCCTCTGCTACAGGATCATGTTTCTTTCTCGGTGCGCGGAGGAGTGGCGGTCAAAACTTTGAGCTTGAGCTCTCAGGAGAGTCATCAGGCTATGTTGCAGCAGTCCTGTCGCCTGACACCTCACTGGTGAGTCAAGTGCAGTAATTCACTCATACTTTAGTCTAAATTCAAGTGTAAAGGCCTTTGCACATCATGTCTGATATTTTCCTCTTAAATTTCCACCTGTGTAAAAAGAAATACAATCTCATGTTGTGTCATTCATGTTAGCGAAACATTTATTTTTATTTTTATTATGTGGTGCCGATGGAAACCCATTTCTGCCAGTTAACTTTTTTTTTAAATTAAAATAATACAGTCATAATTATGAGATAATAAAGTCATATGACTTTTTATCTCATAATTATGACTTAATATGGGCAAACAAGGTTTCTGTGCTTAGCATCTTTTTAATCAGATAACGGATCCAAAAAAAAACGCACACACGAAAAAAAATACTCACTGTGCAAATACCTTAAACCAGTTTATTGACCATTCCTGTTTGTTTTTTCTACAGGGGGGAAACGACACAACCTATGTTTGTGCAAATAACAACGGTAATGTAAAATTCTTCGGCGCCAACCTCAACAACGGCCAGCTTACAGAGACTACGGTCAGTTTTACTTTTATTAAGACTAAGTAAGACAAAAAATTGTTCAGAGTATGATGTAATTTATGGCATTGATCTCTTAAGCAGAAGTGCTTTAAAGGCTTTATATGCGATTTTTCACACTTAAATGTAGAAATCAAGTATATCCTCTGAAAATAACTCTGTGAGTCATGACTGTCTACAATGGGTGTAACACCTGAGTCCCACTGTCTGTGATGTTTTCAGAGTTTTCCAAGTCATATCTTCAGTTTGTTTATATCGCCGGCCGGCTGACTCCTCCCCTCACGTATAAAAGTTGTTTAATTGAGGGACTAGAGAAAAGAAGAATAACATACTGTACTCACTGCTTAACTGTGTTTCTAGATCACGCTCATTTCAGGTAAATTTACATGCAGTGTGAAGATACGAGCATAATAAAGATCGCTAGCATTAGCATGCTAACACAACAATGCACCGCGAGTTGTTTTGATTTCATGCTGGTGCTCAACGGCGACATCTACTGGATATAAAAATCGCATATAAAGTCTTTAATGTTCTGTAGTTTTAGGTTATAAATCACATTGTTACACTGACTCAATCAAACAGGGTGCACATAAATGCTACAACTTGAGCAATATCAGTTTTACATGTGTTTTCTTTCTATGCTCTGTAGGTCAACGCAAACAATGTGAAAGGAAGCATTAATGGAAATATAATCCGGTGCACATTTGATGCCACTGTATCAACCACACAACAAAGAGCATCAACTGTAACACTTGGAATACTCACAGGATCTTTTGACAGCAGTAAGCTAACAAAAAATAGATGTCCACACATTTCATATGAACTTTCAACAATCACAAACAGAGTCACAAAGATCATGACTTTCATGTCGTGGTAACAATGTGATTCGTTTGCTTGTGCTTTCAGCTTCTGGTGCTGTTGGAACCCCAAGCACCCAATTGAGGAGCAATCCTGTTGACCTGGGAAATCCCAATGCCACAGTCACAAATGCGAATTCACCCGACACCACCACCGCTACCATTACCACTGCTAGCCATGCCATTACACTCCAGCAATCACTCACGCAAGGTAAGCATAAGCCATATGGTAACATTCGTAAGAAAGCAAAGTTATCCAAAATATTCCAGGAGTAAGATGTGAACAATGCCTAATCCTGTTTTTCCCCTCTGCTCTTCCATCTTCCTCTATAGCTCTGCTGATCACTGTGAGTGTGCTCTGTCTGGCCGTGCTCTGAGGAAAGCCATGTCAAGACAACAATTACCCACCTAATCATATAAAAAAATGCTAATGCTACATATAAACTGTTAAAAATCTCCCTGGAATCCCAAATATATTTGCATGATGCTTCATTCTGTGTCAACTCACTGCAGGAGAAAGAAGAAAAAGTTGAAAGGTTGTCACTTTTAGATAGCCTTCTGACTGCTTTCACATCTTTTACGGGCTCTAAAACAGGTTCTTAGACTTTTGGATTGTTTTTTTTGTAACTATAGGACTGCTGGATTTATGTCCAACGAGTTATATACTGCAGAGAAAAATGTTTGAAAAAAGCTTTGCCTTTATTCAGGCGGCCGTCTGTTTTGAAAAGCTCTCTCTCTTCTTTGGAAATAATTGGGTAAAAAAAAAGATGCTGACGCTCAGAAAAAGTATCATGGACACAGGGCCTTAATCTTTGAACGGTTAGAATCTTGCAAAAAAAAAACAACCACGAATGCTTATCAACCCTGGAAAAAAAATGGAAATCAAATGATGAACCAATACCTTGTTTTCACCAGCAGAGCTCAGCAAATACAAATGGGGTCAAAACCTCTAATCAAGAGCAGAGGAACTAATGAAGAACATTTTGTTATCAATTCTGTTATTACATATTGACCTTCAGAATAGGTAGGTGCACCTTTATTAAAGACCAGAGTTATTTTTGCTTCATCCCATGCTCATCGAAGTGTTCTTGTGACACATGCTGTACAAGACAAGAAAAGTATGAACGTTGTCCCTCTTTCACTGTTTACGGTAAAAGAACAAACAGCACTTCTGAAATATGTTGATTTTGTTATTATCACTAATATAATATTGTTATTTTATTTTTGAGATGTGAATGTGTATGCTTGAACAATGGTGATAATGAAGCCATCACTGGCTGATATCTGATTGTGTGTGCGTGTGTGTGTGTGCGTGTGTGTAAATGAAGAAAATATACTGCAAATGAGTTGTCGCTTATTTAGAATGCTAATATTGGTGAAACTGACTTTGCATTATATTACAGTTGAGTTTGATTTTGTACATCATTTTGAAATAAATATGTAATGTCAAAATATCTGAATCGTCATTTGTTTAATCTGAACTTTTAGCATTATGCATTTTTTTTGTTTTGTTTAATTTAACTCTCAAATTAATTTCCGTTGGGGGAATATCGCAACCCAAACCCCTAACCCCTTTTTGAAATAAAAAAAGGAAAAACATTTTGGTCACATCTGACCCAGGCACATCTCAAAGTGCATTTAACAGAATATAAAAAGAAATGTCAGTGCTATCAAAGCTATCAGTACCCATAACAAGTGCTAACAGTAATTAACACACACGTATACCACGTCTCCTACATTGGAGAAACATAAATACGTTCGTTTTAAATCACTACATGTGTGATTAGGCATGGCTTTATTATGCATCCTACATTATGTTGATATGTAGGCCACAGTTATCCTGATGACTTTCTTAGTGGGAGAAGTGACTTTTTTTTTTCTAGAGCAGTGACTTTTGGCTCGTAAGATGTCAATGCAATCCGAAGGCATTGGTGAAGAGTATTGTCTGTCAGGGAGCAACGAGAGCTGCTTTTTGTTGAGTTCATGTGCGAAAAGCTTGATTCACATGTATATGTTGATCCAAACATGCTGAGCACAATGATTGCTAGTTTCTTCACGTTAGGGAACTGATGAACATTGATATCACTCCAAAACTTTGCAGGCCCGTTAGTGTGAAGCTCCTGTGCTTTGGTTATGGATGACTGCATGTCGACAACTTCGAGTATGAATTACCCCTTGTCGATGGAAGGGACCACTTCCTTTGCTCTGACGGACAAGTCCCCTTCTGTAGCAACAGGAACGGGTCTCTGACAAAGCCCATCACCTCTGTGGGAAGAGCAAGTCCGTCCAATCAACCAGCAAAGTTCTCTTTCAACCTCTCAATGAAGTCTGTCATCACAACTGTGATCTGTGCTGGGGATGAGATATGTTTGCGGAGCGTCGGAAAATGCATTCTGCCTGTGCTCAAGTCAGTTGCGAAAAAGTCCAATTTCACTTGGAATGCGCGCATCTGTTCCAGATGATCAGTGACAGTTTTGTCTCTGCCTTGTAGTCCCTCATTTAGGTCATTCAGGTGTTTGAATATGTCGCTCAGAAAGCAGACATCAGCCATGAAGTTGTTGTCCAGAATGCGATTCAGGTGTGTTTCTGCCTTTTTTAACTTCGTGCTGCGGAGGAAAGTTGCGATCTCCTCATTGAGATCACAGCAACGCTCCAGTGCTTTGCCTTTGGACAGCCACCTGACGTCATTGTGCAAAAGAAGGTCGCGGTGCTCAGCAGACATGTTTGACAGTAGCTTGCGGAATAAGCGATGATGGAGGCTTGATGTGGAGTGAATGAAATTAATTGTGGCCATCACGCTGTCTATTGTCGTTTTAAGCTCACCGCTTAGTTTTGCGCACAGCACCATTTGATGCAGAATGCAGTGCAAGGACATCATCTGAGGTGCAACAGTGGACCAACGTGCTGCCAGACATTCACTTTTCCAGCCATGGATGGAGCCCCATCCGTAACAAGCATTCACACACGCTCCATATCCAGACCATTGTCTTTAAAAAATGCTGAAATTTTCCCAAAGACTATCTTGCCAGTTGTGTGTCCCTCTAATGGCAATAAGCCCAGCAATTCCTCTCGGAAACATTTGCCGTCAAAAACACGTACATATATGCACAGCTGTGCAGTGTCAGTCTTGTCTGTGGACTCATAAACTGCTATAGACATGACATCAGCTTTCTTCAGTTCTTCTAACAGTGTTTCAAACATATTTGTAGCTAGAATTTCAATCCTGCGAATATTTGAAGTGTCTGACAGGGGTACGTTTTTAATTGCAGATGTCACACTTGTTTTAATTTTTTCATCATTCATTACCTCATGCAGTCTTTTATGGTTTCTGAGTCTGTGAATGGTCTTTTTTTCTTTGCCAGGATCCAGGACACACGGAGGGATGCTGCTGTAGCTCTCTCTTGGGCTGTGCATGACCGCACCATCGTAGTACAGCTCCGGTTGTAAGAAGCAATCAAACTTTGCACTTTTGCAGCCCTCTCCTGTGATCCCTCGGGAAAATTTGTTTGGAAAGTCCGGCGTTTCTCAAAGTGGTGCCTCCGAACATTATAATCTTTAAACATTGCAACGCACTCATTGCAAAGTAAACACATCGGTTTGGCGCTTGCATTTGGCGGCAAAATAAACAGGTATTTGTCAGTCCAGGCAGGGTTAAACCGACGGGTTTCATTTTCAATTTTGCGTTTCAGGGTCAAGAAAGACATGTTTTACAGGTTGTATTATGTGGCTACTACTTCTAACGCTAGCATTAGTAGACACGTTTTCACAACAACGCGCTGCATTCTGGGTTGAGTGTTGCTAGGCTACTTACAGTGTTGCATTCACGATATGAAGTACTGTAGGAATTTCTGTAAAAATATCTGTAGGCTCGCCGAACACGTTTTTCCCGCTTTTTTTTTTGTCTTCTCTGGTTGGGCACTGGCCGGGCCCCTTGGGGATTGCTTCTGGGCCACATGTGTCCCGCGGGCCGCTATTTAAGTAGGCCTGCCATAAGGGGAGCAGGACATTCCTTAAACTCCAACAGTCAGAGACAATGTACCTGAAAGTGCAGTGACATAACAAAAATTTCACGTTTGGTTTCAATCATACACACACCCTTAAACCCTGAGTTTCCACCTGATCCCACCCTCGTGATGTCAGAGAGAGGTCGTTTTCGTTTTTTGCCTCTACTCTACCCGAGGTTTAAATAGTGACACCAAGTAAACAAGTGTCACATTCTTACATGGCATCCCGTTAAGAAACACCAGCAGTGCCACACCTGATTAAAACCTACACAGGATCTTTACATCAAGGAACTGCACACAACATTTCGCTTCTAAACAAATTTCACCCATCTCTGGAAGTTAAGACAACAAGAAGATCTACAGGTAAGATTTTTAATACATTGAATATGCGTAAATGACCTAAAGAGGATTTCTTCATGATTTGGATTCAGAGTTTCCATAGATATATCATTGAAGGTTTACCATTTACTGTGTTGGAAAAATAATTATTGTAAGTTTTTTTTTTTTTTGCAGTTTCCGAAAGCAAATTGTTTCATAAAAGACAAATAGTTGGTGTGAATTCATTAACATGTTATTCGTTAAAAAAAAAAAAAAATTTAAATCACATTTTCATTATAACAGAATCAGCGTTGTTTCTTTAAATTGGAATAATCTTTACATCAAGTTAATAACTTAGAAAACATGTAATTTCTTTAAAAAAAAGAATGTATACCCTGCATTGTGAGAAAATTTTCTAATTAAAAGCATTCATAAATAAAAACACATGTACTGTGTTCATATTTATCATTCTTTAATTACAGGTTGAAATGTTGATTTTGTTCCCTATAATTAATACTCAACTTTATGATCTTTAAGGGTATTTTTCATTACCGATTTCTCAGTTGATTACCGTATTGGTCCGAATATAAGACGACCCTGATTATAAGACGACCCCCGTTTTTCAACACTCATATTTAGAAAAAAAAGATTTGCAGACCAGATCTTGTTTTTGTAAAGAACTTTTTTTAAAGAACTTCATTTTATTTGAAAATAACAATATTAAAAACACATTGAATTAAACACCTGTTGTATTAATAATTATAATAATAATTAACATACCGTATTTATCGGTATAGGCCACTTTTCAAAACAAAGTGTTTCACAAGGGCGAACTATGTACAGTATGATTCAACATTAAAATCGATTAACAATCAAACAATATTATCAACATGTTTTTAACATTTTGAAATAACAGAGGAAATACAGGCAACGTTTTTAACTAAACTACCACTAAACTAAAACTCTCCAAACTTCTCCTCCGATGTCTCCTATTCCTCACACACGTCCTCCGCCCCGCTGTGTTCTCTCTCACTGTCATCACTCCCCTGCTCCTCCCAGAGCGCGTCATGTGTGTTGACATTTAAAGGGACAGGCGAACAATTAGAGTTGCGCTCTTTATACTAGACCCCGAATATAAGACGACCCGACTTTTTCGGACCTATTTCAATGGGGAAAAAGGATGTCTTATATTCGGACCAATACGGTATATTCCTTTAGTTAATACAGTTAAAAAAACAACAATTGTAGTCATTTAAAATTGTACTAAGCTTTCCTTCAGTCACATCTTCAATTTGAGTTCCTTCTAGTACAACCAACAACCCAAAGTTTTGTAATTCTTTACATTGTCCATAAAGATCGCCATCGGTGTTCAGTTAATTAGTTGACAAACTCGCCTCTCTGCCTTGTGTCTGATCACCTGCAGAGCCTGATACATGCCCTGCAGGTGATCAGAGAGAGAGAGAGAGAGAGACGCCTTCTCCTGTTAGTGCACCGATGGGGGTGTGACGTAAAATTTGACCCCGTCCCATACCACTGCTTTTTTTAATGAAGTCTCTTCAACACAGGTTTAAACTGTCGTGATAAGAGAACATCGAGTGACATTTTTTCAAAACAGGAGGTTGCGTTATTTGGCTGTCTCTTAAGAAACGTTCATAGACATGTGGTGCAGATGTCTGATGTCAAAAGATCAGACTCATACAAGTACAGAGAAATGCTAGGAACTCTGTGTGTGTGTGTGTGTGTGTGTGTGTGTGTGTGTGTGTGCAGATAAAAAGAACTGAGAGGTAGTAAAGTGAGCAGATTAAAGTCTTTGTGCCACGTAGTTTGGGAACATCCCATTATTAATCTATGAACTAGCCTAATATCAGTTGTATTGTATTTCAATGTTTGTTCACGCTGATGAACCACTCCCTGGGTGCAACCTCCATCGCCACATGTACAGGTTCATTCTGTGGGAAACACTGACCAACTATAATAAACAGAGGGGGAAAAAAGACACCCACTCATTTCAGAGGATAAAACAGCCAATGTTTGACAAATTTCTTAATCAGCAAAAAAAAAAAAAAAAAATACTGATGAATTGGTTGCTGTTTATTTACTGTAACTATAATACTCAATTGATACCTTAATATGAAGGCTATACATTAATGGTTCATAATTATGTGAAAAAAAGGTTTTGGTATGGTTTAAAAAATACTATATTACACATTAAAGCCTATAAAAGTTAAAATCTTGCCTCCCAACAAGTTTGTAAAAGATTTCTGAATACAGTCACTGATGGATTATGGTCACTGAGTTTGGTTGTGTAAAGCACATTTATATTTTGCTCATTGGTATTGTAGAACATGAACTTCTAGACCTGCTACCGCATGGATTCAACATCACGTGTCCAACTTTATTACTGAACTAATTTCAGCCCTTTCTGCTCTAGGTATGGACGGCAGACTCTTCTTTACTGTCCTGTTTGTGACGCTTTTCTGGATATCTGTTGGCACCTTTGCCCAATCATCAACAGCAGCAGCAGGCACAACAATAGCGGCATCCATGACAAAAGGAAACGGCATGACAAACGCACCAGGTGCAACAACAATGGCGCCATCCATGACAACAGGAAACGGCATGACAAACGCACCAGGTGCAACAACAACGGCGCCATCCATGACAACAGGAAACGGCATGACAAACACACGAGGTGCAACAACAACGGCGCCATTCATGACAAAAGGAAACGACATGACAAACGCACCAGGTGCAACAACAACGGGGCCATCCATGACAACAGGAAACGACATGACAAACGCACCAGGTGCAACAACAACGGCGCCATCCATGACAACAGGAAACGGCATGACAAACGCACCAGGTGCAACAACAACGGCGCCATCCATGACAACAGGAAACGGCATGACAAACGCACGAGGTGCAACAACAACGGCGCCATCCATGACAACAGGAAACGGCATGACAAACGCACCAGGTGCAACAACAACGGCGCCATCCATGACAACAGGAAACGGCATGACAAACGCACCAGGTGCAACAACAACGGCGCCATCCATGACAACAGGAAACGGCATGACAAACGCACCAGGTGCAACAACAACGGGGCCATCCATGACAACAGGAAACGGCATGACAAACGCACCAGGTGCAACAACAATGGCGCCATCCATGACAACAGGAAACGGCATGACAAATTCACCAGGTGCAACAAAGGCGGCATCTATGACAACAGGAAACGGCATGACAAACGCACCAGGTGCAACAAAGGCGGCATCTATGACAACAGGAAACGGCATGACAAACGCACCAGGTGCAACAAAGGCGACATCTATGACAACAGTAAACGGCATGACAAACGCACCAGGTGCAACAACAATGGCGCCATCAATGACAACAGGAAACGACATGACAAGCGCAATAGGTGGAACAACAACGGCGCCATCCATGACAACAGGAAACGTCATGACAAATGCACCAGGTGCAACAACGGTGCCATCCATGACAACAGAAAACGGCATGACAAGCGCAATAGGTGCAACAACAACGGCGCCATCCATGACAACAGGAAGCGGCATGACAAACACACCAGGTGCAACAACGGCACAATCCATGACAACTGGAAACGGCATGACAAACACACCAGGTGCAACAACAATGGCGCCATCCATGACAACAGGAAACGACATGACAAATTCATCAGGTGCAACAAAGGAGGCATCTATGACAACAGGAAACGGCATGACAAACGCACTAGGTGCAATAAAGGCGGCATCTATGACAACAGGAAATGGCATGACAAACGCACCAGGTGCAATAACAATGGCGCCATCACTCACAACAGGAAACAGCATGACAAGCGCAATAGGTGCAACAACAACGGCGCCATCCATGACAACAGGAAGCGGCATGACAAACGCACCAGGAGCAACCATGGTGCCATCTATGACAACAGGAAACGGCATGACAAACGCACCAGGTGTAACAACAATGGGCCATCCATGACAACAGGAAACGACATGACAAACGCACCAGGTGCAGCAACAACGGCGCCATCCATGACAACAGGAAACGGCATGACAAGCGCAATAGGTGCAACAACAACAATGGCGCCATCCATGACAACAGGAAGCGGCATGACAAACGCAACAGGTGCAACAACAATGGCACCATCCATGACAACAGGAAACGGCATGACAAACGCACCAGGTGCAACAAAGGCGGCATCTATGACAACAGGAAACGGCATGACAAACGCACCAGGTGCAACAAAGGCGGCATCTATAACGACAGGAAACGGCATGACAAACGCACCAGGTGCAACAACAATGGCGCCATCAATGACAACAGGAAACGGCATGACAAGCGCAATAGGTGTAACAACGGCGCCATCCATGACAACAGGAAACGGCATGACAAACGCACCAGGTGCAACAACGGCGCAATCCATGACAACTGGAAACGGCATGACAAACACACCAGGTGCAACAACAATGGCGCCATCCATGACAACAGGAAACGGCATGACAAACGCACCAGGTGCAACAAAGGCAACATTTATGACAACAGGAAATGGCATGACAAACTCACCAGGTGCAACAACAATGGGGCCATCCATGACAACAGGAAACGACATGACAAACGCACCAGGTGCAACAAAGGCGCCATCCATGACAACAGGAAACGGCATGACAAACGCATCAGGTGTAACAACTATGGGGCCATCCATGACAACAGGAAGTGACATGACAAACGCACCAGGTGCAACAACAATGGCGCCATCCATGACAACACGAAATGGCATGACAAATTCACCAGGTACAACAAAGGCAGCATCTATGACAACAGGAAACGGCATGACAAACGCATCAGGTGCAACAACAATGCCGCCATCAATGACAACAGGAAACGGCATGACAAGCGCACCAGGTGCAACAACAATGGCTCCATCCATGACAACAGGAAACGACATGACAAACGCACCAGATGCAACAACAATGGGGCCATCCATGACAACAAGAAACGACATGACAAACGCACCAGGTGCAACAAAGGCGGCATCTATGACAACAGGAAACGGCATGACAAACACACCAGGTGCAACAACAATGGCGCCATCCATGACAACAGGAAACGGCATGACAAACGCACCAGTTGCAACAACAATGGCGCCATCCATGACAACAGGAAACGGCATGACAAACGCACCAGGTGCAACAACAATGGCGCCATCCATGGCAGCAGTAGCAGCCCAACTAACACCCAACAATAACGTGTCAACGCTTGCAGTGAGTGATACAAAAAGTAAAATAGAACAGAGTTGAACCAAGAGAAGCTGCTTTTATTGATTGTGTTGACCTTCGATTTTTAATTACCCAAATGTTTCTTGTCTTTTTTGCAGACATCTTTCAACAGAAGTGGCTGTGGAAGTGAAAAACTCTGTGCGGCCGAGCCCTCTACGTGCGACCCCTCCGCTACAGGATCATGTTTCTTTCTCAGTGTGCAGAGGAACAGTGGTCAAAACTTTGATCTTGAGCTCTCAGGAGAGTCATCAGGCTATGTTGCAGCAGTCCTGTCGCCTGACACCTCACTGGTGAGTCAAGTGCAGTAATTCACTCATACTTTAGTCTAAATTCAAGTGTAAAGGCCTTTGCACATCCTGTCTGATATTTTCCTCTTAAATTAAATGTGGTGCCTATGGAAGCCCATTTCCGCCAGTTAAAAAAATAAAAATGAAAATAATAAAGTCATATTTATGAGATAATAAAGTCATATGACTTTAATATATATATTACTCATAATTTCATTTTTATTTTTTTAACTGGTGGAAATGGGCTTCCATAGGTGCCAGTATAGCTAACAGGATATCACTGGACCCAGTGTTCTCTTTTTTCAAGGAGTGAAAGAACCAGACAATCATCTTCATTGCCCGATGACTGATGCAAAATGTCTCAATTCATTTAACGATAAACACATCGGACTCAGTTTACAAGGTTTCTGTGCGTAGCATTTTTTTAATCAGATAACGGATCCAAAAAAGAAAAAGCAAACCCGAAACAAATGCTCACTGTGCAAATACCTTAAACCAGTTTGTTTAGAGTCATTTTTATGAACACATTGTATTGACCATTCCTGTTTGTTTTTTCTACAGGGGGGAAACGACACAACCTATGTTTGTGCAAATAACAACGGTAATGTAAAATTCTTCGGCGCCAACCTCAACAACGGCCAGCTTACAGAGAGTCCGGTCAGTTTTATTTTTATTAAGACTAAGCAAGACAAAAAAAATTGTTCAGTGTATGATGTAATTTTTGGCATTGATCTCTTAAGCAAAAGTTCTTTAAAGGCTTTATATGCGATTTTTCACACTTAAATGTAATAGAAATCAAGTATATCCTCTGAAAATAACTCTGTGAGTCATGACTGTTTACAATGGGTGTAACACCCGAGTCCCACTTCTCTTGATTTTTTCCGATTTTTGTTTATATCGCCGCGACGGCCTGCCAGCCGGCCAGCTCATCCCCTCGCGTATAAAAGTTGTTTAATTGAGGGACTAGAGAAAAGAAGAATAACATATTGTACTCACTGCTTAACTGTGTTTCTAGATCACACTCATTTCGGTTAATTGCAGTGTGAAGATACAAGCATAATAAAGATTGCTAGTATTAGCATGCTAACACAACAATGCACCGCAAGTTGTTTTGGTTTCATGCTGGTGCTCAAAGGCGACATCGACTGGATATAAGAATCGCATATAAAGTCTTTAATGTTCTGTAGTTCTAGGTTATAAATCACATCGTTACACTGACTCAATCAAACAGGGTGCACATAAATGTTACGACTTGAATGTGTTTTCTTTCTATGCTCTGTAGGTCAACGCAAACAATGTGAAAGGAAGCATTAATGGAAATATAATCCGGTGCACATTTGATGCCACTGTATCAACCACACAACAAAGAGCATCAACTGTAACACTTGGAATACTCACAGGATCTTTTAACAGCAGTAAGCTAACAAAGCTAACAAAAAATAGATGTCCACACATTTCATATGAACTTTCAACAATCACAAACAGAGTCACAAAGAACGTGACTTTCATGTCGTGGTAACAATGTGATTCATTTGCTTGTGCTTTCAGCTTCTGGTGCTGTTGGATCCGCAAGCACCCAATTGAGGAGCAATCCTGTTGACCTGGGAAATCCCAATGCCACAGTCACAAATGCGAATTCCCCCAACACCACCACCGCTACCATTACCACTGCTAGCCATGCCATTACACTCCAGCAATCACTCACGCAAGGTAAGCATAAGCCATATGGTAACATTCGTAAGAAAGCAAAGTTATCCAAAATATTCCAGGAGTAAGATGTGAACAATGCCTAATCCTGTTTTTCCCCTCTGCTCTTCCATCTTCCTCTATAGCTCTGCTGATCACTGTGAGTGTGCTCTGTCTGGCCGTGCTCTGAGGAAAGCCATGTCAAGACAACAATTACCCACCTAATCATATAAAAAAATGCTACTGCTACATATAAACTGTTAAAAAAAAAGTTGAATGGTGGTCACTCTAAGATGGCCTTCTGACTGCTTTCACATCTTTTAAGGGCTCTAAAACGGGTTCTAAGATTATAGATTGTTTTTGTTTTTTTGTAACGATAGGACTGCTGGATTTATGTCCAATGAGTTATTTACTGCAGAGAAAAATGTTTGAAAAAAACTGTGCCTTTATTCAGGCGGCCATCTGTTTTGAAAAGCTCTCTCTTCCTTGGAAATATCAATTCTGTTTTTACATATTGACCTTCAGAATAGGTAGGTGTACCCTTATTAAGGACCAGAGTTATTTTTGCTTCATCCCATGCTCATCAATGTGTTCTTGTGACACATGCTGTACAAGACAAGAAAAGTATGAATGTTGTTCCTCTTTCACTGATTACGGTAAAAGAACAAACAGCACTTCTGAAATATGTTGATTTTGTTATTATGACTAATATAATATTGTTCTTTTATTTTTGAGATGTGAATGTGTATGCTTGAACAATGGTAATAATGAAGCCATCACTGGCTGATATCTGATTGTGTGTGCGTGTGTGTGTGTGTGTGTGTGTGTAAATATGAAGAAAATATACTGCAAATGAGTTGTCGCTCATTTAGAATGCTATGATTGGTGAAACTGACTTTGCACAGTGCATTATATTACAGTTGAGTTTTATTTTTTTACATCATTTTGAAATAAATATGTAATGTCAAAATGTCTGAATCGTCATTTGTTTAATCTGAACTTTTTGTATTTTTGCATTTTTTTTGTTTTGTTTTATTTAACTCTCAAATTAATTTCCATTGGGGGAATATCACGAAATATATTAAACATTGACAAATAATTTTACAGAAGACAGTTAATGCAAATAATCAGAAAAAACATTAAAGTGACTAATAGAGGGGATGAACTTTACCCTATTATTGGTGAAAAATACTGGGGTTAGTGTTGCTTTTTGTTTTTGAGTTTCAGCCCCTTTATGCCTCTATTTGTTTTTTTGTATGACAATATTGTGGCATTATGTAAACTCTTGGAAGTATTCAGCGTTGTTTGTATGGCCCTTATGTATGAAGTCAAAAAACGAAGGCTTGTTTTACATTTCATTGTCAAGGAAATGTTAAACAAATTTGTTTGGAGATGAAATCATTGTTTCATGGAATACTTGAGAATCCAAGTTGGTTAAATAGGCATGGGCTGTTTACCGATCTGGATGTTTTGCCTTTCATGCAAACTTCCTTCCAATTTGCATATTCTTGTTTAACAAGACAAATTATCCAGTAACAGGGTAGTTGGTAATGCTCACGGGTAAACTGGAAATACAGAGGGAGAGGGAACGTCTACAAAGTGACTGATGTGTATCCCTCTTGATCGTTTTTTTATTAAAATTATTTTCACCTTGACTCTTTGCCGGCCTCCGAAGCTATGAATGGGAGTCAGTACATCTGGATCCTAAATGGTGAGTCAGAGTGTTTTAAACTGCACCCATTATTGGTAAGTTTGTGTTAATTTAAACAGTGCACTTAATTATTATCTTTCATTTAGGCAAGGCAAGTGTATTGATAAAGCACATTTTAACAGCAAGGAAATTCAAAGTGCTTCACACAAGACGTCAAAAAGCATCATGACAGAGGAAAGAAAAGAAACATTAAAATAGAAAATGTAAAAATCACTGAAATACTGTATGTTAAAATAAAATCTGAATCATTAAACTAAAATTAATTGAAATAAATAAAATAAAATAACAAGTGTAAAAGTTACAGTGCAGAGTTTCAATTGGAATCGTTTAATGAAAGGCAGTAAAAGTTTTCAACCTTGATTCAAAGGAGCTAAGAGTTTCAGTTGACCTGCAGGTTTCTGGGAGTTTTTTCCAGATATAAGGAGCGTAGAAGCTGAACACTGCTTCTCAGTGTTTTTTCTGACTCTGGGGACAGAGAGCAGACCTGTCCCAGACGACCCGAGCGGTCTGGATGGTTCACAGTTAATCAGAAGGTCACTGATGTATTTTTGGCCCTAAACCATTCAGCGCATTATAAACCAGCAGCAGGATTTTAAAGTCGATTCTCTGACAGACTGGGAGCCGGTGTAAAGACCTCCAGAACTGGACTGATGTGATCTTTTTTGTTGGTCTTTTCTAAGTCTAAATCTCTAACTCGGTTGTCGAATCGCCTTACAGGCATTTCCCTCATGATGACATCGGGAGCACTGGCAGGTAAACTTTTTGTCTTTAAACTCATTTCATTGATGTTCAAAATACTGATCCATTTCACTCTACTGTATAGACATCAAGGATTGTGTTTACTGTATCTTTTATGTACATTTTTGGAAAGCTTTGTGCTGAAGACTTATTATTTGTTGTTTCTTTTGACTGGTGAATATTTGTTTACTCAACTAGGTGTTCTTATGCAAAATGTGGCTCTGAGTCGAACTGCAGACCAGTCTTCATTGCACCCTGATGGTCCTGCCAGAAATGCTGTTGATGGAAACCAAATGCATAGCCAGAAACCAAAATAGAAGCTGCTCTATCACTAATCGCCCAGCAAGGTGTATTATTCAGGAGAACTTGTAAAAGTTCAGATATTTCTCTCCAGCGATTATGTTCAACATTCTTCAGTGCTCATGGGAAAAATTAAGACAGGAATGAACTCCCTCAAGGGGAGTTATAATGTTGTCAACTTCGCAAAATTCAACCAATCCCTGCAAACTTTACATGACTTTGAAGTCTTAACCAAACGCCAGGATTCATCCGCAAACTTGTAGAATCAACCACGTGCAGTCATGTTTGTCTTGAAACTCACTTCGTTGATGTTTTCATCCATTTCACTTGGTTACATCAAGGAAAAGGGTTTACTGTGTCTTTAATTCATATTTTTGGAAAGCTTGATGCTTCTTATTTATTCATTCATTTTGCTGTTATGCAGTTAGCCAGGCCATACCATATGGAACATGATAGCAATCTAGCGTAAGTATTGCTATGGCTAGGGTGATGGTCGAAACCTCCATATCAGGATACTTTAATTGAACTGTACCCACATGTATCGACCTACACTGGTCACACAAGGTGCCTTCCTTAGCAGCCCGTTTAAGTTTGTTGTCACCGGCGTTTGCCGCACTGAAGAAGGTTGCACCAGTGCTACTTTCTGTTCCAAGCGTTTGTGTTTTTCTTCATCTCATATAGCTTTGAATGACGGCATTTCCATCATGGGATTCTGAAAATGGACATTTGCAGTGTGTCCAAAATGCAGCATATTCATTGGCTGGTACTTTTTGAGATGAGCTGTAACTCTCCTGGAGTTTCTTTGAGCCATTCATGACTCTGATGTTGTGTTTGAATGAAAAGTCTGTAAGTTGACCAAAACCTACTGACTTTTGACTCTTTTCCACTGTCAGGTGTGCTTCCATCTCCCACATCGGGGCGGGTAAAACGGTCACATTTTACTGCGAGGGAGGCAGCGTGATGGGTCGCTTTGTCAACGTCATTATCCCTGGACCGAAGAAGATTCTCACTCTGTGTGAAGTGGAGGTGTATGCAGGTACAACTGTCACTGACTTTGCCTTGTTTTTTTTGGTTTGTTTCAAAAATTCTGATAATAGTTCATTCCTCTTTTTCTTGTCTTTTCTCACTTTAGTGGAACCTCTCGCAAACGTGGCCCCAAACGGACAAGCAACGCAGTCATCCCTTTACGCGAACAATGTACATGCAGTCAATGTTATAAATGGGGATATGACTGGATTATGTTCACATACTGCAAACCAGTCCTCTCCTTGGTGGAAATTGGACTTGTTAGCTGTGCACAGGGTTCGTGCTGTTACTATCTTCAACAGGCCAGACTGTTGTCCTGAAAGGCTCATTGGGGCAGAGATCCTGATTGGGAACTCTCCGTCAACCGAGGTCGCCCAAAACCCCAGGTAAGTCAGACTTATCTCTTAAAGAAATCATTCTTCAGCTTCAGTCTAGCAGCACGATAGAACTATCATTCCTTAAATTCCGCTCAAGCAGCCATTAGAAAGCCTTAGCAGCACCACTGGTGATGGAAATTCTTAGTTTTGTATATAATCTGAGAAATATTTCCATCATCTTCCTCCATTAGATGTGGTACTATCTCATCGGTTGAAGGTACATTAACACACACCTTCCATTGTGGAGACATGGAAGGTCGCTATGTGGTTGTGATCTTACCGGGACAGAAAAGGATTTTGTCACTCTGTGAAGTGGAAGTGTATGCTTCTTTGGCAGGTATGTTGCTTCCCCTTTTTGTCCATAATATAAAAAAAGACCTGATTATTTGAAGACTCAATATGTAGATTCCTCTCAATCAATACAACAATAACAAACGATGACTTCGAGGCTAGCTGGGGATCATTGGAGTTCTCTCTCGCTACCTTCTGATTGTGAAAGCAGTTAACTGAGAGTAAGCTAGCACAGCAGTGAATAAACACACACATAGGTGAACATGGCGGTTCAGCATATTATTTTTTATATCCCGCCTCTGACATGGCATATAGCCAATTCATTGTTTTGGGGTGGCCAATCAAATTTCTAGTGGGGGCCCATGCCACCCCTTTGGACACGCCCCTGGCAAAGAGACAAGATGTGTTCTATCCAAAAAGGGTCGGCCAGATACACAAATTAAAGGTTATTTTCA